AGCTCCATGAGGATTCGTTGATCCACTCACCAGACAGAAGGGCGGTGACCGTAGAAAAGAAGTTGTCTGAGGTTTCCTGGAAGGCACAGCGAGCCCAACTTAGACACCACCTGGACCGGTTCACGACAGTCGCATGCTTTGCAAGCATCGAACTGGCCCGCACAAAACCTACAAACAACCGTCCCTCCTCCTCTTCTGGCGCTGCAGCTGCTGGGATCGCTTGGAGGCCAGCTGCTGCTGTTTCTGCTGGCTCCGCCTGGTCGGGGCCCAGCAGGAGCAAAGTTCAGTTCGCTTAACTGCTCCAGGCCGGCCCCTGCCTCGCGGAGGACGGCGCGCAAGTCGAGGCGCGGCTCCTTGCTGCCTGTACTAAGACCCGTCCAAGTATGTCCAGCATGGTGTAGAGTGTAGAGTCCAGAGTTCTCCTAGACTCCTATAGGGTCCTAGACACTTGAAATTTTCTCACCACCGCCGCACTCACGGCACTTGCGGAGCCAAGTAGGGAGGCCCCTCCCTGCATCCTCCCCGCGGGCAGCTCCTTGCCTTCATCCAAACGAAGGGCGGCGATGGCGCCCCGCGCCACCAGGCCGGCCTGGCTCGCAGCGGAATCTCAGCTCTGGCTCGCTGCTCTCCTGTTTGTCCGGGCCTCGATGGAGCGCTCCAGCAAATCCCGCACCTCACAGAGGGGGACGTCTGTGCGCCCCGTGCTCACCCAAAACGGGGCGGACTTAGAACTGTTGAAGTCCGCAGGCCACGTCGGGGTTCGACTCTAGATGTGCTTGTTGGCAAGAATGGACGCCCACGATAGCGTTTCTACAGCGAGGCAGCGGCGCTTCTTCCATCCCTGCGGTGCCTGAGCCTGCAGCTCTTTGTTCACGGCGCGGAGCCCCTCATCGGGCTTTTTGATGTAGAGGTTCGCGAAGTAGCGAACCACCTCCAGGCACAGCGCATGCCCAAGCCGCTAAGAGATTGAACCCGCTGAGTCCCGAAGAGACAGAGTTAAAAAGGAGAAGGGATGAGAGAAAGGGAATCTCCCTCTGGCTCTGGCTCGCCTCTGGACTCCAGGCCAGCTCCACGTTCGCGAAGCCGGGGTGCTGTGAGAAGGCCTTGGACTCGGAGGCCAGGAAGCCGCGGACGGCCTGCTCCACCTCGTGAGGGCTGAAGGGAAGGAAGGGCAGTACGTCCGTCAGGCGGCCCCGGATCTCGCTCTCGCGGAAGAAGCTGTGCTCCTTGGCTGAGGCTCACGCTCGCCTTTTGTGACGCGTTCTCACTCACACTTATGCCCAGTCTCTCTGTCGATGGCCGGGGGATGGCTCAGCTCCGCATCCACGGCATCGCGAAGCTTTGCCTCAGCCACGCACGACTGTAGAAACCGTCTGAGGCTCCTAGAGCTTGCCTATGTGCAGCCCACTGACGTAGCCAGCACAGTCTGGGTCGCTGTCCGCACCCGAAGGGAGCCTCCGGATAATGGATATGTCGGATATGTCGTGGAGAACCCGGGGCCTCCAAGCCCAAAACACAAACTGAGATTAGCCCGAGCTGCTTCTGCCAGGTTTCCACGGCACGGCCCTGGCCCTTCGCAACCTGATGGAGTTTCTGCTTCTGCTGACATAATATGCTACGAGGAAGCCACAATGAGTGAGATTTAAAAGCCATGCGTCCGAGACCGGGTGCTTGAGAATCAGCTCTTTCGCGAGGTTGCTCGTGAGGATAAAGGTAGCCTATGGCAGATGCATTGTCACGCTCTAGATGTGGACAGGCTTGCCTTAACCATTCGTTCTGAAAGTGAATGCGCTCATACAGGCCAGGCTGCATTGGCCGCTGGATAGTCCCGTCCAGTTCGGGGGTCGTAGACGGTTCCTCAGCTGCCATGCGCGCTACACGGTGGAAACCGATACGCCAACTTTGGAGTAAGACTGTGGATTACACCACGGCAAGAAAGCTGAGGGGCCATATTCGCCGAAGACAGTCAGCAACGCCCTTGCGAAGTCCGAATGGGCCTTCTCGATCTCATCTAATACTATCACCTGGAATTGCAGCACCAAAACAAGGCAAATGCATCGAAGCCTTCTCATGCGGCCCAAGATACTGCATCCGGGTGTTGTCTGACCTGAGAGGCCCACCCACCACTGCATGGTGCCATTTCTTCCCATCAGCGTCTTGGACTCGTGCAAGGTCCGGGAGGTCACCAGAGCCCTGGATGCCACGGGGCGGCCCAAAGAAGGTTTTCCTGAGGCTCAAAAAACTTTTAGGCGGGACTTTACGAGAGGGTTGAGGCTACGGAAAACATAACGAGAATGCACGGCTTCTGGCCATTCTTGTGGTTGTGGTTGCTGTAGCTGTCGCATCCCCGTGGTCGTTGTTGCTGCTGCTGCTGCTCTTGTGGAAGCTGCAGCTTTGCTTGTATAGTCGCTGTTGCTGCTGCTGTTGACGTGGAAGTCGCAGCACCAGCCCTAATGAGAGCAAGACTTGTTGTGATCTTGATAAACTCGCAGCAGCCGCTAAATCAAACAAGCTGCTGGTCTTCGAGCATTCCTCACAGGTGCTTCACTGTCTGCATGATTCGCACGCCAAGGACTATCGTCGACGGCTTCATGCACTGTACACCCATCCATCCACTTCGCCAAGTTTCGGAACTGATTCCTTGGACTTGGCAGGCTTCCGTCTATGGAGAACATTTAGGAAGTTTCTGTACATGTCTCGTTGGAGCAGGCAGCACACACAGACAGCGACAACAAGAGCAAACGTAGTAGTTGCGAAGGGTGCCTCTGCTCGGCTGCCAAGAGGCATTGGGAAGAGCCTGAAGCGACCCGATGCCTTCCGGTTAGGAGAAGTAGAGTGCCATCTCACTGAATGTCGAAACCTTAAGTCCTAGCTCGTCTCTAGCATTAGCGTTGTCGCCGCCGCCCTCGACAAAACTGTATAGTCACATTGCTGAAGCTACGAGTAGGTGGGCCTCCAGCTCCTGAATCGGCCGGCCATGGATGACTTCAGCCATCGTTCGGGCCGCCATCGTCTTTCCTCGCAAGGTGCGCATCTCAAAAAGCAAGACTTTGAGGAGGATGCGCCAGGCCAGGGCAGCGACCTGTTCCTGAAGGTCCCGTCATGAGCAACACCAAGGGAACACCAGGACCTCAACGCAGGATTCGAGCTGCAACTGACAGTGGTGGAAATGCCCCTTTGCACTGTGCACGGCCGGGCTGCGCTGAATGCCTTTCTTGCGCAGCCGCACATACCCGGGAGACTGCATCAGCCTGCAGAAGGCTTGACTTTCTCAGCTCGCTAGAGAAAAAGCGCTGCCCTTACCATACTCCGAGCCTCTTGACAGCGCACTGCTGTCCCACCAATGCGGCAAAAGGGTCTACCTGCCATCACGACATTATAGATTTACAGATTTAAGACTATCTGTGGACCAGTGAGCAGGAGCGAAGTCGAACTCTCGGAGACGAAAGAACGAATGGAACAGGAATCGGCTGAATCCTGACGCCGCATCGCACAGCGCAAGTTGCTTGTTCTCGCTTCAGCACACGGATCGGCAGCACTTGGCTTTCAGCAGCTGTCGGGAACCCCCCCTTCCGTTCCTCCATTAATAGTCCCTAAGCTCCACTTCGACTAACTCAAGAACTTCCTGTCTTTCGCAGCACAGTAGTTTGTGATGCGCACCTTGCCGAGCCTTGCCGAAGGAAGAAAACGTGCCTTTAGCTGAGATTGAGCGTGTGCTCCCACTATGAAAGCATGCCGTGTACGAGTCTGCTTGACTTGCATAGAGTTCATCCCGTTCATCCCTGTTGTTGGACGCGAAGCAGTCTCCGAAGATTCCGCATGGCAGCAGTTCATCCCTTAGTTAGAGATTGCCCGCGTGTGCGGCAGGCCTTACGAGGCGGTACCTATGGAGGGTGCGCGCAAGAAGCTCTCCCCGCAACGCATCACGTGAGCAGTGTTCAGGGTTGCCTTGCTCGTGGCAGCCAGCGCAATGGTCTGAGGGGTCTCCGTGCCTGCAGGACCAGGCTAGCACTCATCGCACGTTCAATAGATTCCCTCTTGTATACGCTTACTATCGGATTGCTCCACTTGCTGCCTTCTGGAAGGGCATCGGCCGTCAAGAGCTTCTTGATGTCGGCATGGAGCGATGGCAGGCAGGATTCCTGAGTAAGGACACGGCATCGATTCCAACTCACCGAATGCACAAGTCCTTGAACTTTATAAATGAGCTCCAACCCTACGGCCCCATTGCCGGCAATGGCAAGGGGCTGCCCCAGCAACGTTGTCCATCAAGTCCAACTGCCTCCAGGCACTGAGCAGTTTTGCGGGCGAAGAACAAAAGACAATGAAAGAAGATCGGGTGAAGTCCAAGGCACTGCAAATGCCGCAGAGCCAGCCACTGAGAGGATTTCTGGGCCTCGGACGACGACTTCAGCGCTCCGAGGTTTCTTGGCCCGGGCCCCAGCTGGGCCGCAGGCTGGCAAGCCGCCAAGAAGCCGCCGAAGCACCACGCAGGCGCTGGCCTTCGATCGCAGAAGGTGAAGGGGTGCGAGCCACGCCGCCACTTACGCGGCCAGCAAAATCCGTCCTACTAGTGCCTGGCACTCTTCGTATAGTCTCTTGCAAAGCTCAGCTTGCGCAGGGTGAATCTTGCAATTGCGCTTCTGCAACTGAAGTGTTCGCGGAAGGCTTATGAATGGGCGTAGAGATGTTTCGATTCTCCAGCCTGTGCCCCCTCCCCTCCGACTTGGCTTCCAAACAGCAACACAGCAAGGGTTAGAGCACGGCTGTCAAGCCCTGTCAAGCCCGTATCCGACCCCCGGCTGCATCGGCTGCACGGCGCCGCTCGGCACAGGCTGGAATTAGAGCATTGCGTCCCGACACTTCAACCCCTGCTTGCTGCTCGTGGCGACGCCTGCCCCCCCGCCACCCCCCCGAAGGATCTCTAGTGACCTGCCGGATGTGTGTCAATTCTCGTGACCGGCCCGCCTCGCCGCGCACTAGAGCCTTCAGCAAAGCCTCCAAAAACGTCGGCAAGCCGAAGTCCTCCAAGAGCTCTGCGCCTTTCATGGGATCAGCCGGGTGGTTGCGAGAGATGGGGTTACGAACGGACATGCTTTAGCCTGACTTTCGCAAGCAACGTCCCGTGTGCACCTCCTTGGGGCCGCGTTCCCTCCTTCAGAACGTCCAAAGCCCTTGGCAGCACGGCTGCGTGGCCTGGCCGTGGCGAAGGGCTGGCGCTTACGCGGCGCTTCCATCGCATCGCATCTACCACCCCGTGCCACGGCCACGGCCTCCCATGCGCGTGGCTTCGGCCACCAGCTCGGCGGCCAGCAGCGCTGCTGCACGGCGCCGGGGCAGCGGCAGCCGCGACCAGCAGTGCAGCAGGTGTGGGGCTGAGACCTGACAGGAACTCACCATTGCACGTGGTTCACCACACTCTTTGCGCGCAGGATCTGGGCCCGTCATCATGCGGCACGAATAGGAGACGGTAGGAGGAAGTCATAATCAAAGAGCGCAGCCTAGTCAGTAAACATCGGAGATCGTCCTCTCTACGCTCCGAGTAAAGAGTAACGAGGTGCGTCGAGGCACGGCTTTGACCTCGCCGTCTGCCTGCGAGGACCAGAACCGCCGAGCCAACGAATCCTCCAAAGCATTGCGCAGTGTGCACCGTGGCCGCTGCGGCCCCTCCACGATAAACTCCGATAGACGATTGCTGAGGTGAGCGGTCCACATCAGTGCAGGCGAGTTCATGTGGAAAGCGATCTCGCAAAGCCAGCAGCGAGGCCTGGACTCGAACATCCGCTCGGAACCGCGGAAAGAACACCGCCCTTTCGGACCCCTTCTACATCCATGTCGTTTCGCGAAGCTTCCCTGCGCACAGCCTCCAGCACCTGGAGGTTCCAGCTATACCTGAACAAACAATGTGGGATGCGACTTCGAGCCAGCATACCCGCTTGCAGAATACGAGCAAGTGGCTTGTGGGCCAAGGCCACGAGGTCCTCCGGATTCCGCGCCTGCATGACACTCTCGCCCCCACACACCGCATGTGGCGAGAATCCTCTGCTCCGAAGTCGCCTCGTGCACCTTCGCCAGCAATTTCACCTCACGAGGCTCGCGAGCCGTGGGCCGTGGGCCGTGCTGTGCCATGCTGTGCCTGATCCTCCTTGCGGAAGATCGATTCCACTCGATGCCACACCTGCCGTGCACAGACGGGCCGAGCTTCCCGCGCTTGGCCGTCATGGCCCAGGCCCTCCTCCCGAGCAGCCGCAGTGGTACTGCTCCAGGGGGTGACTTCGCCTGCGTGGATAGCTGCCAGCTGGCCTTCGCTTTTTCACATCTGCACAGTGGATGTAAGCTCGCCGCTCGAAGACAGGAACTCAGAAATCACGTGGAAGTACTCCCTGACTTGCGAGGCCTCGGAGTTTCAAACTGCAGACCATGAAGCAACCTACAGGAAGGCTCACACCGGCGCCAGTGTGCACCATCAGCCCAACCGAGAATGCAGAACGCAGGTGCTTCAATTGACAACGGTGGTGTGTAAGTCGAGGCACTTGACCCTCCTCTGCAAGCGTCTCAGAAGGCTCCTCGCGGGCTGCCTTAGGCAGCGAGAGACTGCGATGAGGGGCTAGAGAATAAGATGTTGAAGCAAATCTCGCACGGCCCTATACGCCTTGTCGAGCAGATCCTCGCGCATAGCAGGGCAGCTGAGCATCTTCTCCTTGGCTGACACATTCGATTACCGAAAGGGCACATGGGCAAGCTCTTTCACCGGGAGTCGGCTGCCGTACCGATGCCCTCGGTCATCACAACTGAAAGAGCTGTCCTTGGACGGATAGAGCAGCACCGCTGGCTGCCATTAAGGTCCGCAGGTAAGTAAGCCAAGCCTCTTTATTAGATTCCCCGCGACGGGGATCCATCCGATGGCATGGCTGACCAAAGACATCTTCACCTTTCGCTCGTCTGTCGCAGGGAGCAGGATCCGGAAGGTTCAGCGCAGCAGACACAGACACGACCAAGTCCGAAATGCGCAATCGGCGCGATTGACATTTGTGCAACGCGGATGGGGCTGGAAGGTGAAAATTTGATCTCGGCGGCGGGGTCGGGGGCGGGGAGGGAGGTGAAATTTACGAGCAACTTTCACGGCAGGGAGCGGGGTGAAAGATTAAATGTTGTCTTTCACGGCCGACTGCTGAAAAATAAAATGTTCATTTTCACGGAGGCTGGGAGCGGGGAGTGGGGTGAAGTCAGGAGGATGGTGAAAAATAAGATTCCATCTTTGGAGAGGCAGAAGCAGCAGCTGCTGCAGCCACACTTGGCGGAGATCAGACCCCTACCCATGCGGCCAGCATGCATACTCGCTGCCAAGGAAAGTGGACACTGCCAAGGCCGTGCCCAAGTCCAGGTAGCCTCGATCTGCGCACGCCCACACACTCAAGTTTCATGTGCCTCTCTGGGGGGGGGGGGGCGACATCTATGACGTGCCCAGCCGGGAACAGTGCTGGGCTGCTTACTGCTCACATCGTTTGGCCAATCAGGCATGGTTGGGATGCTTAGGTACACAGGCAGAGCTCGTGCACGGCTGCCTCATGCAAGGACACAGTTCCCGGCGTCCAATCCAGTAGTGCGGCATAAGCGACATCCATATTGGAGCGCGATGGCAAAGATCATAGCCGCCTTGCCAGGTTATGCATTGCTCAAGAGGAGCCAAAGTATGCCGAACTCTCCTGTGCCTGGATGGCCGGCACCACTGCCGATGCGCCTGGGAGTTGGGCCATTGCACCTGGCTGGAAAGCCCATGAATGCGACGAAGCGGAACGCTTGCGGTGCATGCCAAGCTTGTCTGCTGGCGCCATCTGCAAATCCAGCAATCACAGCCGCTGTGTGTCGAATCGCAGAGATTTGACTCCTGCAGTCGGAGCATTGAGGATTGTTGAAAACCTCACGGGGCTCACACACGCACACACACCCGCCGAGCTTTCGCGGACAGTCTCTCTGAGCTTTCTGTTGGATTCCATCGGGTGGGAATGAGGCCTTAAAATGCGAGAATAGCAAGCGTTTGTTCCGCGTCCTGGCGACACCGTTCTCACCACAGGTCTCGCTCGGTACGGACCCGACTTGCCCGTCGAGGCCCGCGGCGGACTCTGGTTGAAGGCCCTGCGACATGCTGCGATTGGACACAGTCGGACCGGCCCGCAGCTCCCGCAGCTCCCAGCAGCTCCCAGCAGCCGTGCCGGGCCGTGCCTGCTGAGGCTCCGTTCTGTCAGACGGCCGCCTGCGCTTAGCAGCGCACCGGCTCATCATCATGACCAATGCTATGCCGCACGATATCGAGGATGTCTAGGACCGCCGGTGATAACAAGAACCTGCATGGCCCACATGCATCTGCAAAACCACCGCAGACGAAGCGCCTGTCTGGCTGAGTGGCATTCTCGGCCACCTACCAACGCGAATAAGGAGGGGGACGGGATCAGTTTTGTCACTTGATGAATGCACTCTTGCTTCTTGCTCAATTAGTTCACTGTTAACTAGCTCGCCTCTGCACGCCGGATAGGCTGCATCGTTCAAGCTATGTTGTAGTATTCTGATTCATGTAACTTTACGACATCCGTCCCCCAATATCCCCCAATGCTTTCGGAGCTTTCGCTGCCTCGGCGTGTTGGCATGTTTTTTCGTCGCGCAATGTTCTCCCTTCTGCGTGCCCTTCCACGGAGCGCTTTGCATGTGATCCCTTCCGCAAAAGAGAAAACTCTTAGATCCTAGTAATGTAAGTCTCATATATTGGGTCGACGTCAAGTTCCACGTTTTCCGTCAAGAGACGGAAACCTTTGCTCTTTGTGCCTGATGGAGAATTGCCTGTCTGGCATTCTTTGTTTATGACCTTGAGCGCTTTGCTATGAACGTAGTGACGTAGTGAAGCACAAACTTCACCCAGTATGGGATGTTGGAAAGGCAATCTTGCAAGTTGTCCACGGCCCTGCCTCATCTGCTGCACTGAGCACCGCAAGTGCCTGCCAACCACGAATATCCACCGCCCGGAAGCAGCTTCGAAGCAAAACAAGCAAATACGGTTCTCTCACCCTTCTCGGAAAGTCGTCTGCTTGGTGAATCGGAGCCCGTACTCCCTCTGAATACCCCGCAGCTCCATGTTCGCACACAAAGGGGGTTGCACCAGAAAGACGAGAGCTCGGAAGGCCCCCTTTCGGGGACGGAACACCATCAAGCGCTCCTCGCAGCACAGAGGAGGGTCAGAGCTTCGGCTCAGGCCTTGCTTTGGCACAAGGCTTCGACACGGGCAGAAATGAAGGTAGACCGGAAGATGCAACATGCGTGACATGCGTGGCCTCTGTTTTAACTCGTGCTCCTAGCACCCGCTTTGTCAGATTCTCCGTCTTTCAAGACGAAACGATGAGGAGGGGCTGACTACGCAGAGTCTTTGCCCATCATGGCCCGAGCTGCCCGCCACACTTTGCTCACAACCTTGGCATGACGGATATTTTGCCGCAGTACTTAGGAAATAGGATGAAGAGGATACCAATTCTGATCGGTAGCAGTGCAACGCAGTGCACTGGCAACCTGCCCATTCTCTGACCAGCACAACCCGCACAACCCTTGACCCCATCCTAAATCTAGCTCTTGCTGTTCGGTTGCTCTACGCGATGGCAGGCAAGGAGCGAGCTTGGACCAATAGAGCTGCAGGACCCAGCCCAAAGTGAAGATCAGGTGGGCCTGAAAGCACCCAGCACAGCTGGGACCCCGGTCCGCTGAACCAACATGGAGTACGTCCCCATAACACCTGCAATCCCTCCTCGGTAAAATTCAAGTTCTGGTTCAAGGACCACTGCAAGCGCGCCCTCAGACGCTGCGTGCTCCGCGCGTGATATTGAAGTTCGGAGCTCAGCATGCAAGATGGCAAGACTGGAGCGCGCAAGTTGTGATCCATGAATCCTTGCGGATGGCTTGACCAGTGAATTCAAAGCGCGCAGAGGCAGAAGTGTTCGCAGGTTGTGCATGTTGCTGATTGCTCTGTGGATGCCTATGCCTTCCGAGAAGGCGAAACGGTGTGACAGTGCTGCGCCTTCCCCGGATCCTTTCCAGAAGCAGCGTGGGGCCTATGCTACGGACACGGCGGATACCGAGCTCTGCGGGCGAGCGGCTGCGGAGGCCTTGACCATCGAGATATTCGGTGGAAACTTCTCGGGCTCGAAGAACCAAGTGTAATTGAACTCCTAGGCTGTCGCAGTGCCAAAGTCAAAGTACGAAGCTTCGAGGTGAGAAGATGCAGGATCGTCCCGGTTCATCGCGGCAGCAGGTCTCATCATCCGACGTATTACGTTGAAAGTAAACCTTCCATATCAGTATCAAGCAGTTGGGACATTCAGAACACCAACAGCAAGAGGACGCACTACACCACTCTGTTTCTGTTTCAAAGGGCAATACCAGTCTCTTCAGAGACACCGCGCAACAACACAACTAACAAGAACCAAGCTGTCCCGGGAAGAGCTTACAAGTTTAGCTGCACGATGCTGTATGGATCACAGAATAAGAAGTTGCAGTCGTAGTTGTACTGGTTGTCGTTGTGGTTGTCGGTGCTGGGGGGGGGGTGTTTTGGTGCTGCTGCTGCTGCTGCTGCTGCTGCTGCTGTTGTTGCTGCTGTTGCTGCTGCTGACGTCGTTGTCGCAGCAGTCGTCGTCGCCGACGTCACTCACAGAAGCAATGGTCAGTGACAGACTGCGCACGGCTCTAAGGAGCCCAAGCAGCTGCCACCACGAAGCCGTACCAGAAGATGCGGATCCCCAGAAAGGTCAGCGCCTCTTCTGAAGAAAATGATAGGACATAGGACCGAAGTCGGGTGCCTTTCAAAAACAAAACTGAGGTCGAGACGAAAACCGCGGCCGCCAAGTCAGAGACCAGGGCACATCTTTTCCCGTCGATCTGGCGCGTCATCAGGTGCCTCGCTTTGTTTCTGGCAGCAACCAGAGATTGCATGCGTGTTTTTTTGTCTATGGCCGAGTAAACCAGCCAAAGCGGCACACTGAGAAAAACGCTCGAGACCTCCATCGACATTGCTCCACTGGCCAGCTTGCCGAAGCAGGTTAGGTCCAGAATCAAATACCCGGCCACAAAGAAACCTAGTGATTGGCAAAGGGAAACAGACATCATGCTCCGATGGGTCTACATGGAGCCTATGTGGTGCAGCAGCATCTCAATACCGGTTTCCCAGCGCAGGAGCCAGAAAATCAGCCTAAGCGCAGGCGGGATGCAACTGGATTGGGACCAGACCACATGCTCGCGATTCCGAATCTGCTGGCCGAGTCCGGACAAGATCTCTATCCCACAAAAGCTCGAGCACAGAGTGCTGCCCAGTGGCTGGTACAAAATGTTTCCGGTGAACATCTCGCCAACTCGGCAGCACCAAAGCTCCCGTGTCACGTCGGCGGGGCGCGGTTGCTCGAGCAAGAAGGGCGAGAGTGAGGCTGGATATCCTGCCGCAAGTTGCCGCAAGCGCCCTGAAGCGCAAAGGTTAATCATTGGATAGGGTTCGGGGGGGGGTATATTATACTATATAAGTACAATAAGGAACCCAAGATAGTCAGTCCCTTTTGGAACCCTTTATCTGAGAGCTGCCTGCTGCATTGTAGCTGATGGAAAGGTACAAAGCCATCGGGCCCAGGAAAGTGTGCGTCCTTGGTGAAAGAACATTCATAATAACTACAAACAAAAAGAAGAATAACGATAAGCCATAATGATGGTAGGTATAACTTTCCTCTCGAAAAGCCAGCTCCTGGAGCCAGGACTCGTGATGGCAACGATGCAGGCAGCGATGTCCTTCGAGAGCTGATCCCGCAAAGTGCCTCGAATCGGCCCCTGCATCCCGACCCCTTCATTTTTATCGACGAGCGCATGCCTCATACTGAGCACCGCTGCCTTTGCTCTTTGCTGCCTCGCTCATGGGAGGAGAGAGCTTGGCAATGGCTGCTTTCACACACCTCCACGAAACGCAAGATCCGGGCACCCAGGCACTGCAATCGAAGGACCTGTCTGTGACTGTCTGTGCCATAGCCGTAGTCAAGTGGCAGCGCGTACACGCAGAAAACCGCCGCCCAGCACACCACGGCATAGACCGTAGTCCTGTCGGATATTGTCACATTGATGCCTTCTTGTGGGGCAAACTGGTGCCGATGCGGACACCTGCCGCAAAACCAACACTGCCAGCCGGCCTTTCCGATCGATGTGCTCGGAATTGCTCCCTCAGGGGTTCGAAAGTCCAAAAAAGTTCGAACGCCCAACCCAGACGGTATGTGCTTGATCGTTGCATGCAAGCTGCGAGACATTCATCTTCTGGGCGCAGGAAGACGATGGTCCGCGGGGCTCTAATCAACCATGCAGGTGCATGCAAGCTAAGCTACCCTCGTGGTCAGCTGCCTGTTCATTGACCAGTCTTCTGTGCTACATGTCCTTTTCGGCCCCTTCCCGCCATCCACGGTGCTGTCATTGTCTGTCAGTGGTACTTGGCTTCGCTAGTTGGCTACGGACCCGTTGTGCGCGTACCTTCGTGAATTATGAGGCCGTCTTGTCGGCTGCAGCATGACCTGTTCTTCCTATTTGACTTGCTGGTCCTGGCGCTCTCGCTCGCTAGCGGCCGAACGAATCACTACGAACGCACTGTCTCTCTCTCAGCGGCCCACACGCGCTCTTTACGTCTTAGTCTTCCCCTAATGGGCATGTCTTTTTCTTGACCCCCCATGTCCTTTTTTTGACCCCCGATCGTTTTATTGACCCCTGAACATCTGCGTTCTGACCCCGTAACCACTTGCTTCTGACCCCCGCATCTTTGGTTTGACCCCCACTGTCTTGATTTCGACCCTCTTGTAGCCACACGGGTTCGCTTCATTAAAAGAAAGCCATCGGACGTGCTCGCATGATTCGCACAGGCTTTATCGGAGGTTTGCTCGTTGTTTTCAATCTTTCTAGTGTCTTTCGACATTCTCTAGTCTCGTTCAAGTGGATTGCACCTGGTTCTGAAACTCTCTAGCTCCTTTCGAGCGGTTTGCTCCTTGCTTTCCAATTCTCTAGCGTCTTTCGAAATTCTCTGGTCTCTTTCGAGCGGCTTGCTCTTTCTTCTGAAATTCTCTAGTTCCTTTCGAGCGGTGTGCTCCTTGTCTTTTCAACTTCTCTCGCCTCAGTTTTGAACGGCTTGCACCTTCTTCTGAAATTTTCTAGCTCCTTTCGAGCGGTGTGCTCCTGGATTTGAAACTCTCAAGTTTCTTTCCAAATTCCCCAGTCCTTGTTCTGAAATACTCTAGTTCCTTTCGAGCGGCTTGCTCCTTGTATTCAACTTCTCTAGTCTCCTTCGAGCGGTTCGCTCCTTCTTCTGAAATTCTCTAGTTCCTTCCGAGCGGTTTGCTCCTTGTTTTTACAAACTCTCTAGTCACTAGTCTGTTTCGAAATTCTCTAGTCCTTTTCGAGCGATATTTTGTTTATGTCTTCGCATTTTCAACGTACCTTTGAGGCGTTTCTCTCCTTTTCTTGAAATTCTCTGTTCTCTGTCGAAATTCTCTAGTATCTTTCGAGTGGTTTGCTCTAGTTTCTTTCGAGCGGTTTGCTTCTTGTTTTCAGTTGCTCTAGTCTCTTCCGAAGTTCCCTCGTCCCTTTCGAGCGCTTTGCTCCTTGCTTTCAAACTCTCTAGCCAGTCTCTTTCGAGCGGTTTGCTCCTTCTTCTGAAATCCCTCAGTTTGTTAAAGCGGTTTGGCCCCTTGTTTTCAATTTCTCTAGTGTCTTTCGAATGGTTTGCTCCTTCTTATAGAATTCTCTAGGTCTTTTCGAGCGGTTTGCTCCTTGTTTTCAACTTCTATAGTCTCTGTCAAAATCCTCCACTCTCTTTGCAGCGTTTCGGGCGGCTTGCTCCTTCTTCGGAAAATTCTCTAGTTCCCTTCGAGCGGTTTGCTCCTTGTCTTTCCTTGTCTTCCAATTCTCTAATCTCTTTCGAAATCCCCTAGTCTCTTTCGAGCGGTCTGCTCCTTCCTCTGCAACTCTCTAGTTCCTTTCGAGTTCCTTTCGAGTTCCTTTCGAACAGTTTGCTCCTGTTTTACAGCTTCTCTACTCTCTTTTGAGCGGCTTGCTCCTTCTTCTGAAAATGCTCTAGTTCCTTTCGAGCGGTTTGCTCCGAGTTTTCAACTTCTCTAGCCTCTTCCGAAATCCCCTAGTCTCTTTCGAGCGGTCTGCTCCTTATTCTGCAATTCTCTAGCTCCTTTTGAGCGGTTTGCTCCCTGTTTTCAACTTCTCTAGCCTCTTCCGAAATCCCCTGGTCTCTTTCGAGCGGTTTGCTCCTTATTCTGCAATTCTCTAGCTCCTTTCGAGCGGTTTGCTCCTTGTTCTGAAATTCTCTAGTTACTTTCGAGCGGCTTGCTCCTTGTATTCAATTTCTCTAGTCTCTTTCGAAGTTCCCTTGTCCCTTTAGCAATTGTCTACTTCCTTTCGAGTGGTTTGCTCCTTGCTTTCAGTTTCTCTAGTCGCTTGCGAATTTCTGTAGTCCCTTTCGAGCGGTTTGCTCCTTCTTCTGAAATTCTCTAGTTCCTTTCGGCGGTTTGCTCCTTGATTACAAACTCGTTAGTGTTTTCGACATCATCTACCTACAGTCTCCTTTGAGCGGCTTGCACCTTCTTCTGAAATTCTCGGGTTCCTTCCGAGCGTTTCGCTCCGTGTTTTCAATTTCACCAGTCTCTATTGAATTTCTCTAGTCCCTTGCGAGCGGTTTGCTCCTTCTTCTGAGATTCTCTGGTTCTTTCGGAGGGGTTGCTCCTTGTTTTTGAAATTCTCTAGTCTCTTTCGAAGTTGTCTCTTTCGGGCGGTTTTCTCCTTGTTCTGAAATTCTCTAGTTCCTTTCGAGCGGTTTGCTCCTTGGTTTTCAATTTTTTTAGTCTCTTTCGAAATCCTCTAGTCTCGTTCGAGCGTTTTTTGTTTATGCTTATCGAAATTTCTAAATACCTTTGGAGCGGACTCGAACCACTTCAGCCTTTTTCGAGCGGTTTGCTCTTGGTTCTGAAAGTCTCTGGTTCATTTCCAGCGGTTTTTGCTCCGTGGTTTCAACATCCTCTAATATTTGTCGAAATTCTCTAGTCTCTTTCCAGCAGTTTGCTCCTTGTTTTAAAACTTTCTGGTTCCTTTCGTTCGAGCTTTATCTCCTTCGGGTGGCTTGCTCCCGTGTTCTCCAAGTTTCTAATCATGTTTCCAGCGGTTTGTTCCTTGTTCCTAAATTCTGTAGCCTCTGTCTTAAATTCTGCAATACCTTTCGTACGGTTTGCTCCTTGTTCTCAAATTCTCTAGTGTCTTTCGAGCGGTTTGCTCCTGGACCTGACATTCTCTAGTTCCTGTCGAGCGGTTTGCTCCTCGTTCTCAAACTCTCTAGTGTTTTTCGAAGTTCCCTATCTATAGTCTCCTTCGAGCGGCGTGCTCCTTGTTTTCAGTTTCTCTAGTTCCTTTCGAGCGGCTTGCTCCGTGTTTCCAGACTCTCCAGTCTCTTTCGAAATTCTCTAGTGGCTCTCGCTTTCGAACGGTCCTTGTTTCCAAACTCTCTAGCGTCTTTCGGAACTCTCCTTCGAGCGGTTTGCTCCTTCTCCTGAAATTCTCTAGTTCGTCTCGAGCGGTTTGCTCCTTGTTTTCAATCTCTCTAGTGTCTTTCGAAATTCTCTATAGTCCCTTTTGAACGGTTTGCTTCCTCTTCTTCTTCTGAAATTCTCTAGTTCCTTGCGAGCGGTTTGCTCCTTGTTTTCAACTTCAAGGGATCTCACCTCATCGGTGGATGTGAATCCCTTCACGAAGGTGGAAACATCCATGAAGTGCTGGTGCCACCTCTCAGCGGCTTCGTCGGAGGTGTCCGTCGGGTTGGCCTCCAACTCGCTGTTCCACTTCCTTGGCTTAGGAGAATATTCCGCTGCAACTCCAAAACAACAAGCACAACAACCAACAACAAAGCTACTAACATCTTCGAACCCCCAAAACCACTCTCAAAAGGTTTGATAAGGACTCTATTCTGGTGGATTGGCCACTCTCAAGTCTCTGTTGAATTTCTCTAACCCCCTTCGAGCGGTTTGCTCCTTCTTCTGAAATTCTCGGGTTCCTTTCGAGCGGTTTGCTCCTGAAAAATCTCTAAGTCTTTTTCGGAATTCCGTCGTCTCTTTCGAACGGTTTGCTCCTTCTTCTGAAATTCTCTGGTTCTTTTGGAGGGTTTGCTCCTTGTTTTTGAAATTCTCTAGTCTCTTTCGAAGTTGTCTCTTTCGGGCGGTTTTCTCCTTGTTCTGAAATTCTCTAGTTCCTTTCGAGCGGTTTGCTCCTTGGTTTTCAATTTTTTTAGTCTCTTTCGAAATCCTCTAGTCTCGTTGGAGCGTTTTTTGTTTATGCTTATCGAAATTTCTAAGCACCTTTGGAGCGGTTCTCTCGCTGTTTCCAAACTCTCTAGTCTCTTTGAACAACTCTAGCTCCTTTCGGGCGGTTTGCTATTGGTTCTGAAATTCTCTGGTTCCTTTCCAGCGGTTTTTGCTCCTTGTTTTCATATCCTCTAGTATTTTTCTGAATTTTCTAGTCTCTTTCCAGCGGTTTGTTCCTTGTTTTAAAAATTTCTGGTTCCTTTCCAGCGGTTTTTGCTCTTTGTTTTCGAAGTCCTCTAGTAGTTTTCGAAATTCTCGAGTCTCTTTCCAGCGGTTGCTCCTTGTTCTGATATTCTCTGGTTCCTTTCGAGCATTGTATCCTCCGAATGGCTTGCTCCCGTGTTCTCAAGTTCCCAGTCCTCTTTCCAGCGGTTTGTTCCTTGTTCCTAATTTCTGTAGCCTCTGTCTTAAAGTCTGTAATCTCTTTCGTTCGGTTTGCTCCTTGTTCTCGGATTCTCTGGTGTCTTTCGAGCGGTGTGCTCCATGTTCTGAAATTCTCTACTTCCTGTCGAGCGGTTTGCTCCTCGTTTTCAAACTCTCTAGCGTTGTTCGAAGTTCTCTATCTATAGTCTCCTTCGAGCGGTGTGCTCCTTGTTTTCAGTTTCGCTAGTTCCTTCCGAGCGGTGTGCTCCTTGTTTTGAAACTCTCAAGTCCTTGCTCTGAAATACTCTAGTTCCTTTCGAGTGGCATGCTCCTTGTGCTCGACTTCTCTAGTCTCCTTCGAGCGGTTCGCTCCTTCTTCTGAAATTCTCTAGTTCCTTCCGAGCGGTTTGCTCCTTGTTTACAATCTCTCTAGTCTGTTTCGAAATTCTCTAGTCCTTGTCGAGCGATATTTTGTTTATGTCTTCGCATTTTCTACGTACCTTTGAAGCGTTTCTCTCCTTTTCTTGAAATTCTCTACTCTCTGTCGAA